TGTTATACTAAGAATCATAGATGGTATCACCAAACATCCCAAGCTAAATCCTTACCAGCAAGAGCCTTTGTGAAGTTAAAAGGGCGTGAAAAATGAGCGTAAATGTAGAGCCTTTGTGAAGTTAAAGGGTGTAAAAGTTGGTTTTACGGGCGCAAATGTGGAGTCTTTATGAAGTTAAAAGGGTGTGAAAGTTGGCTTCACAAGCACAAATGTGAGGTAGAGGGAACAATAAAACAGCAAGCTTACAGCTATTAGGTTTTACGTGCGACGGTTAATAGAATATACTGATAGCTGGTTGATGTGTTCTTAGGCCAGAGCTATGTCCAGAAAAGAGGATGCTATTCTATCCGAAACTCCCCAAAATTATTGGCTCGGATTACCTGGAGGATCGTATAAGGTCCATACACGGGAGTAAAGACACAGCATCGGCCTGTCATCTGTTTGGTCATACTCATTTCTGCTGGGATCTTGTACTTGATGGCATCAGGTATACTTTCAATAAATTCACTTCACTAGCAACGCCCTAATTTCTCTCTTAGTTTTAGAGTATTGATAGGAGTAGAGGGCATTTAATTCTCTGGCTTTTGATCTTCTATTTTTATGGAAAAAACCAGATACGTTCAGGCTCCATTGGCTTATCCCAGAGAACGCAAGAGGAGGATGAATGGTGGTGAAAATTGGCTTCCTTTCTGCATTTATTCCAATGGAAGGTTCGCTCATAAACTCACCCCTTGTTATTGGTCCGATTATTATGCTGCCAATCCAAGATCACCCCACAACACTCAACTTGCTCCTTGGGTTGCCAAATTTTATAGAAGATTATAGAACATCCATCTTGTATTCCCATAATATAATTATCTTTATTTTCTAAAGTTGAGTTTTCTTTTGTTTCTTTCCTCATTTTGAAATCTTATCTCATCGCAACTCATTTCAATCTGAGCTAGTATTAGAAAAACCCCATTTCTTCAAATTGCATTGAGATTAGCTACTGATTTTCAGAACATTACGAGAAAGAAAAAAGATTGGCCAAGTGAAATAATCACATAAATGGATTAAAAAAATTTAACCCCTTCAAATTTTAAAAAAGAAAAGAGATGTAAGCTGTGTTACTTTTATTACTTCCAAGAACATAAACACCACAAATAACCCTAACGGAGGCGATAAACAAAACAACC